CAAATCTATTGATCGTTTCCAAAATGATGATTTGATATTCTAGCATTTCCTACAAACGAGCACTTATCTTAAAAAATAAGTACATACTTGTCTATCATAATCAATGAAAATAAATTTTGAAATAGTGAATTTTTGAAGAATGCGTGGTTAAGAAATAGGAAAAATTGAATCTATGTGCAAAATATTTTATTGTGAAAATGTGTGGTTTAACAAGAGTTTGAGATTTTATTTTTTATTTTTTAAATAATGATGGATAAATAAGGGCTTAATGGAACCAGTATTTGACAGTGAGCAGTACTCCACTTGTATGACATGTCATGCATTGACTTTTTGAATTTACGTGTAAAATATTATATTGTAAAAATGTGTGGTTAAAAAAGAGTTTGAGATTATTTTTTTTAAGTAATGATGGATAAATAGGGGCTTAATCGAACCAACATTTGATAGTGAACAGTACTCCACTTGTATGACATGTCATGCATTGATTCCTTTTCAGATACCAGCATCTCCTCACTTGCATGCACTCACAAACACTAGCTAACGAAGATTTGATAGTACGTTGCCTCCGTTTGTGATTTTTTTTTCTTCTTCCAAATTATAAGTTGGTAAAAAGTAGTTCTGGATAAATAGATACTATTTATGATTACATCGAGTTTTTTGGTTAAAATCTATAATTGATACTTTAGATCAATTTAGAGAAATATTAACATAATAACGATTTATACTTGCTGGAATTTGAATATAATAGGATTAGGAACATAATTTGCTGAATTTTTAGTACAAGTTGTAGAGAGATTTTCCATAACAAAGTCTTTGTTATTGGACCATCATCCTTTTATAAAGGTCACCAGACTAAAATTTGTTGTCCTAATTATATTGGATCTTGCTACTCGTATATCGGGATTGATCGACCCCCTCACAACAGGGGTTCACTTTTTTTTTTTTTTTTATTCGTCTTGGGCCCCCCAGTTGTGAGGGGTCGATCAACCCCGGTGTACAAGTATCAAAATCCAATTATATCAGGTTACAGTGCCAACCTAGCCCTATACACAACCATCCTTTTTGGAGAGATTTGGTCCGCTAGAGAGTTCAGTTGTAGCAAAATCATCATGATGTCTAGGCCCAGCACTGCAACTTAATTAAGGTAGGTTCGAGCGGGATTGGGGTGGGGTGGGACAGGGCCATTTACCAGCCCGTTTAACTTTTCTTTTATTTATGTTATTTATTTTTTATGTCTTTAGTTGGTGAAAATTATTACTTCTCTCCCAAATTTTCAAGAACAGTCACATTTTCTTTAGAAAGGATGATAATTCTTTTCTTTTTGTTTGATAAAATTTTTTAATTTGAAGTAAACTTTAAGTGGTCAAGGACCATATTTTTCGTACCCGTCCTATACCCACTTCGAGGCAACAGCCCCCGTCCCGCCCTTGTCCCATTAATCGATTAGACAGACAATCCCCGCTCCGCTCGGGACATGGCTTGAGGGTATCAGGTTTAATAGATTTGTTTGCCCTCCATGGCTAGATGCTCTTACCTTTTGGCCTGGTTATGTGTTTATTTTATTTTGCTTTGCTTTCTTGGATCATCTGAGCAACTACATTCCTCTTTGTTGCCATTTTTGTAACTTGTAATGGGAAGAGTACTCCCAAACTTGAGTTTAATAATTACTCATTGTAATGAGAGTAGTACTCTCAAGTCTAGCTTTTGCAAATTCTTCTTTCTTCCTCTTGTACTCTGGGGGTAAATCTTGCATGCATGTTTACTCCCTTTTGTACTCAAATTTTCTATTAACTAACAAAGTAGTGGTCAATGCAAATTCCCACCTAGGCAGAGGTGGAGTTTATGAAAGAAAAACTACAATCCTTGAATACATTCTTGTATACATGATCGTGACTAAAAATGTAATAAACCCTCCCTGCTTTCATTGCTCCTCCACCAGTCCTATTAATTCAATTCAGCATTACACTCAATAATATAAATGATTTCTTTAAACAAAATCTCTCGAGTGCTATTAACTAATTAAATTATCAATTCGACAAATATGGTGATAGAATGATTAGCACATTTCTCAAATTTTATAAAGTATAGAAAGACAAAAAGTCCTCATATGGATCTTAGAAGTACGAGGACGTTTTATAAAGTTGATAGGCGGTTTCATAACTTAAACAGGTTAAAATATATTGTGTCAAATTTCGTTGATAAAGACGTAAGTTCGATTTGTCGGTTTCTATGTAATTATGTTGTTTCATATGAACCAAATCTATTTTGTCTAGGAAGAAATTTACTTGTAACCACAAACATCAAATGAGCAAAATTATCACAAGGAGACATCACAAATTTGATCCTAAAGAGATGTTACTTCCTCGCAAACTTATCTTAACTCGAGAACTTTTGACTCAATTTTTTCCAAACTTTGCTGATGGAGCAACCTCATGTTTCACACATGTTTCACATTGAATTGGTCAAAAATATGCCTAAAGAATCATTCGACTAATTTAATAAAGCTGGGCCGGGTTCCTTAATATTCCTTGTCCGTTTCAAGTTATAAAGGTTGACATGGTCCAAAGAATCACTCTACTAACTTAATATTTGGAATGAAACGCACATGGAAGAGAAGACTATTGAAAGTTCAAGTCTTTGCGCCTTTATAGTCAAGTTTGTTGAATATTCCTGATTATTGTAGAGTTGTAAAGGAGGGTTGATTTTCTAATATTTTGACTTTTTTTTTTAAATTAACTGAAAAACAAAAAAATTAACAATAACTTTGAAAAGTAATAAAAAAAAATTAGCCATATTCTTCATTGCGAAACTGTTTAGTGGCTAAGGAACGCTCACAGAGTCAAACGGTTTCGTTAAGAAGAAGAATGAGTATTAAGTTGAGAATGGTAGCTAAAGCACTAGACCGCTGATCCGAACAAGTCAAAGAAAGAAAATTTGGTTTGAACAATTTGTGATAAATTTTCAAATCAAACCACTTGAAGTTCTAGAAGTAATATAAATAATAAAATTGGACTTTGAAGACTATTTTTTGGACCCTCACAATATGATCCGCGAACCTAACCCACTGCATGCGAAGCATAGAGCAACACGCAATCATGAAAGGTTCATATAAAGCTAGCGAACATTTTTCCATGCAAGTTGGCTATCAATAAAACATATGTAGTCGAATGATGAAAGTGTGATACTCCTAATAGAATTGGTTATTTGCTAGCCAATAAAAAACCGTCATCTATCATTTTCGTAAATGATCAAATTATCTCAAAGTTTAGAAGAAAATCTATATAGACTGCCTCATTCAAAGAGAAAAGGCATGCAATTCAAATATTTGCTCTCAATTAGATATTTTCTCTTTTGCTCCAAGTTTGAACATCAAAACTAGTAAGTTTGGAGGTGAAGTTCATAGTTCGGTGAGAGAATTATTTGATTCGATTTTTATCATCAACATGCATAAGATTTTTTTTTCTTATAAATAGAGAGTCTCTTGAAAATGTTTTACAACTTGCAACTTTTGTCAAGTTTTTAACTACATATTTTATCAATATTTACTAAAAATTTTATTTTTATTAAAAATCAAACATGGGATAATTTATATGTATGCATATAAAAGCCTGTTTGTCTCCCATTATGGGAGAAATTATAGAGTTTTGAATAGTATTTTTTGGAGAATGTATGATTAAAATTTAAAGAAATTTAATTAGTTTGTGTGTGAGATATTTTATTGTATGGAATATGTGATGTATAATATTATTGTAGTAAATAATTTAATTTATTAAAGAATGACAAACAAAGACTAAATGAAGTTGGATCCACAATTTCACATCCAAATTAAAGCTGCGAATATTGACCACTGATATTCAATGTCTCCAAGGTGAGACTGGGACACAATGACGAAAACGACATGCAAACTCATATAAAACGCAATTGACTTCTCAAGGGTAAATATTGCATTGAAGGGCCCACACAATTCAAATCTCTTGATCTTTTTTCAAAATTATCTATTTAGGGCCTGTTTGATAGAATTTGTTTAGGAATAATATGTTATTGAATAGTATTTTATTGGAGAATATCTGATTAAAAAGTAAAGAAATTTTATTGGATTATGTGTAAAATATTTTATTGTGTGAGTATATGATGAATAATGATATTGTAACAAATAATTTAAATTTTTAAAGGATGAAAAATAGGGGGTTAATTTTCTGACATTCCCTACAAGGCCATACTAGAATGCATTTTTGAATAGTAAATTGATGGTGTTTGGTAGACATTTTTATGTGAAAATGCATTTTTGAATAGTAAATTGATGGGAAATGTGTGAAATTGACTTCTCAAGGGTAAATATTGCATTGAAGGGCCCACACAATTCAAATCTCTTGATCTTTTTTCAAAATTATCTATTTAGAGCCTGTTTGATAGAATTTGTTTAGGAATAATATGTTATTGAATAGTATTTTATTGGAGAATATCTGATTAAAAAGTAAAGAAATTTTATTGGATTATGTGTAAAATATTTTATTGTGTGAGTATATGATGAATAATGATACTGTAACAAACAATTTAAAGTTTTAAAGGATGAAAAATAGGGGGTTAACTTTCTGACATTCCCTACAAGACCATACTTGATTTACGTATAATATTATTTTAATAAAGAATGTGTGGTTGAAAAGAAGAGAGAGAAAAATGCATTTTGAAAAAAATGGGTGCCAAACGGGGCCTTAATTTTGGAAATGAACTTTTTTCAAAATTTCTTTTTTAGCAAAACCAAATCACTATGCTTCATGCCTGTGTTACTTTCAGCCTCTCACGGGCTGCTTACTCCATCAGGAAATGGTCAATCCACGATCTGCTGCAATACGTTAAGTCAGAAGAAGAAAAATATTGGTAGAGAAAAAATTTAATTATTCAACCGATGTTTATTTACTTTGCCCATGAGGGCTCCCAAATCGTTGTCTTTTTCCTGAATTTATTAATTTATGTAGTTTGAAAATAGTATAAAAGGCCCAAAGAAGGCTCATTCTGAGACGTCGTGAAAGGAAAAAAAAATAAAGTTAGTAGTCTTGTTTAGTTCGTTGTTGATACAGGGAACTTACTTCCAATGATAAAAGTAACTTCTCCAGAAATAGTGTTTTAATTCTATCCACTTTTCACATGGCCTTTCCAGTTTCAAGTAAAATTATTTTTTTCCTGCTGTTGTTTTTGTTTCTACTCTCAGCCACAGCCCAGCGTTCCATTAACGTCACTTTGGGTTCATCGATAACTGCAAACAAAGCAAATTCCAGTTGGGTGTCACCTTCTGGAGAATTTGCTTTTGGCTTCCAGCAGATCATTCCAGGAGGTTACTTGCTGGCTATCTGGTTCAACAAAATACCTGAAAGAACCGTTGTTTGGTCTGCCAATCGTGATCGTCTCGTCCAAGAAGGATCAAAAGTTCAACTATATGCAGATGGGAGGTTGGAACTGCGTGATCCTAGAGACCAGCAGATATGGGCTGCTACTTCGTCTCGTGGAGTAGCCTATGGATCCATGCTTAACACTGGTAATTTTGTTTTAGCAAACAGAAGTTCAGTAGTTTTGTGGCAGAGTTTTGATGAGCCGACTGACACATTATTACCAACACAGAAACTGAATAAAGGTGGCATACTTGTTTCCAGCTTTTCTAAAACAAATTATTCAAGAGGGAGATTCCTCTTCACATTACAAAATGATGGAAATCTTGTGTCTTACACCAGAAATTTCCCCTTGGACGAACCGATTTTTGCTTATTGGTCAACAAAAACTACAGGCAGGGGCTTCCAGGTGATCTTCAACCAGTCTGGCAACATCTTTCTGGTAGCAGAAAATAGAAGCGTACTCAATTTTGTGTCTCCAAATGAAGCCTCGACCAGTCAGTTTTACCACAGAGCAATTCTGGAATATGATGGGGTTCTAAGGCATTATGTCTACCCTAAGTCTTCTGATTCAGAAGGTGGGAGAGAAATGGCGTGGTCTTCTGTGGACTTCATACCTTCGAATATATGCACGAGCATGGGGGAAAGGTCAGGATTTGGTGCTTGTGGTTTTAACAGTTTATGCTTATTGGGATCTGATCAAATACCACACTGCGACTGCCCTAATGGTTACACTCTTATAGATCCAAATGACAGGATGAGTGGATGCAAACCAAATTTTGTTGCACAAAATTGTGATGAAGGGGCACGTGAAACTGACCTTTTTAGTTTCATTGACATGCCCAACACAAATTGGCCTTTCTCCGATTACGCACTTTTTAAGGAAATCACAGAAGATTGGTGTCGACAGGATTGCCTCAATGATTGTTTTTGTGCTGTAGCGATTTATAACAACGGTAGATGTTGGAAGAAGCAATATCCTCTCACCAATGGGGCGATAGATTCTAGTTTAGGGGGGAAAGCTTTGATAAAAATAAGGAATAGCAATGCAACTGTATACTCCTCTGTCTTTAAGAAGAGTGAAAGTTCCACTCTGATCATCATCCTATCAGTTTTCTTAGGCATTACCATGTTCCTATTTTTATCCCTCTTGTTGTATGTTTTCTGTTTCAGTCGACAAAAATCAAAGAGCCTTCAACCATATCAAGATCTTCCAGGCCTGAACATAAGAAGATTCAGTTTCAAAGAGCTAGAAGTAGCAACAAATGGATTCAAGGAGGAATTGGGCAGGGGCGCTTGTTCAACTGTATACAAAGGGATTCTTAAGAATGACAATATTGAAATCGTAATTGCTGTGAAAAAGCTTTATAAGATGGCTACAGAAGGTGAACAAGAATTTAAAGCGGAAGTAAACTCAATTAGCCGTACTAATCACAAAAATCTAGTTCAATTGCTGGGATATTGTGAAGAGGACCAAAACCGGGTTTTGGTATATGAATTCATGAGCAATGGCTCTTTAGCAAAATTGCTGATTGAAAATTCAAGGCCCAACTGGTACAAAAGAATGCAGATTGCATTTGCAACTGCTAGAGGTATTTGCTATTTGCACGAAGAGTGTAAAAATCCAATCATACACTGTGACATTAAGCCTCAGAACGTACTCTTAGACGAATTCTTTACAGCAAAAATATCGGACTTTGGATTAGCCAAGCTTTTGAAGCCAGATCAATCTAAAACCACCACCGGAATAAGGGGAACAAAAGGGTATATTGCTCCAGAATGGTTCAGAAACATGCCGATTACAGTCAAGGTTGACGTTTACAGCTTTGGAATCTTGTTGCTCGAGCTTATCTGTTGCAGAAGAAATTATGAACCCAATGTTGAGTTTGAGACCGAAATGGTACTTGCTGATTTTGCTTATGATTGTTACAAGGAAGGAACAGTGAATTTGCTGGTGGCAGACGATGAGGAGGCATTAGGCGACAAGCGATTTGACAAGCTTGTGATGATCGCAATTTGGTGCATTCAGGAGGAACCAACATTAAGGCCTACCATGAAGAGAGTAATACAACTTATGGAAGGATCTGTTGAAGTCCCCATTCCTCCAAATCCCACCTCCTTTGGCACTTCAGTTTAGATTCATATTTTTGTCCCAATGTATGATAATAATTTGTACGATCTTCGTATTAGCATCTCTGTTCATGTCACTCGCTTCTAATCTTCTAATCAATTTAATTTTGTAATATACCTTAAACTTTCTTTCTATGCTGCACTCGTTCAACTCGTCGTTATAATGGCAATTTTCTTTTCATTCATCTCCTTGCCTTACCGAGCTGATTTATATAATTATTGCTCCATGCTTATTGTATATTTGAGCATGTTTAGTAATTAGACCGAACATTTCAACAAATTTATCCAAACAATTTTTTTTTTTTTTTGGGTGGTCAAACATGCTCTTAAACCCGATCCATCAGAGTCACTTATTTTATTGATAATTTTGAAACAACAATAATTTAAATCCACGTTTGACTCAACATAATCATGTTCTTAAAAGCACAAAAAAGGGAATATTTCCAAGTCTTGGATTGACCAAGAAATTAATCGTATGATTAGTACATTTGATAAGTATATTTTATGCGCTTATTTGAACTTCAATTCTTATTTATTTATCATTATATTGAGTGATCATCTACTCAATTTATGTTATTTTATGATTGATTTACGTAAAATATGGATTTGACAAGTTTGGATGGAATTGGATTGAATCTATACAAATTTAAGACCAAAATGTCTTGAAGATGAGGACCTGTCATGCAAATAAAGAGGACCTGGGATGCACAACAACTTAATTTGGAGGATCAAAGTGCACTACACTAGTAGAAATTCCAACTTTTGATAATGTTAAATTTACATTTATTTAAGCAATTAAAAGTGATTTTTGTTAGTATTAATGTAAAATTGATACTTAATTATTCATATTTTTGGGTTATGTGAGGAAAAAACTCAAGATCGGATCAAGAATGACGAAATTTGTATAAAACATAGAATTTTGGGATCAAATTCTACACTTTAAGCTTGAAGGACTAAAGTGAGTTATCTTGAAGAATTGGGGCCTTGGAGGTAAGAAATACATTTATTTGGGCATTGGATCAAAGACTCAAAGAGGAGATAAAATTTCAAATGTGAAGTGGCACGAAGTAGTTGAATAAAAAGATAAATTATATGGGGTACCTTGATTTAAATATGAATTCCAATATTACTTTTCAACATTTTATATCTCAAATTTACTGCAATTTTAAAAGTACAAATACAAAATATTAAACACACAAATATTACCCCGATTTGCGCTCAAGAAATCAGAACACATTTATTTCCCAAAATCCATAATTTCATTCAACCTATAATTTATACAAATTTGCTTTTTTAGTTGCAGATACTTCGCTTTCTATTGTAAAGACATCCATAAATTTAAATCCAACCGAAGCAATAGGCCTTATATTATAGAATTTGGAAGTAAAAACCATGCATTACTCTTATTTGATTACATTTATTTTTCATGGAAAATATCAGTTTTCCACCTAAATTTCTACTTGGAGTGTTTGATTGCTATTTTTTTCATGGAAAATATTTTTCAACTTTTGAAAATATGCCTAATTTTCTTTTTTTTTTTAAGGAAAATATTTTCCTTGGGTAGAGGTGGTTTTTATTTTCCACAAAAGATGAAAAATATTTTCTTTTTTAGGTGATATTTTCCATGTCAATCAAAAATATATGCGTTCTTTATTGTTCGTGTTTGCCATCTTGTTTAAATTATGAAGGATTAATGGATTGAATTGATTTTGAATTCTTGAATCGATTGGTTTTTGGGTTTTGAGTGTTTCCTTAGTTTACCCAACCACAGTGCAAGTTTTCATTGTAAACATTTAGAATATTTTGAATTGCTAGGTTTTTGAGTTTTGTGACATTTATATATGCGTTCTTTATTGCCAACCATACCATAATCTGTTCTTTATATCAATTTTTTCTTTTTCCCTCGAATGTAGTATTGTGGAAATGGACACCCCTAGGCCTAGTGGTTGTACAACTCGTTCTGTGTCAAAAGTTCAAACTTGTGAACAAAAATGAGAAAAAGTTAACGAATAAATCGATCCATACCACCCTATTGTTGACACGCTAAAAGTGCAGCCCAATTCAAATAGCCCAAAGAATGAAGCCCAACTAGGCAATTCAGGATAAAGGTCCAAATAAGGTTATTAATGAATGCAGTGGAAGCCCACGAACGCATTAATACCATCGCCCAAATTTGCAAGACGCCCAAAATCTAAGCGAATGAAGTGCCTTGCAGTCGCCGAGAGTTATGACCCTGTTCTCGCCCAAACCTTCGAATTGCCTAGGATCTTAGCAAACATAAGATGTTATGGTTATCCAAAAGTGCAATTATCGAAATAGTTATTGGATAATCTTATCACGTTCCACGATTCAAGGATGCTCGGTTGAGGACGGTTGAACGACAAAGAGTAATGACAGCAGTTAGAGACGGCAGTTCCACGATAAATTGGTCACCATGAAGAAAGTAGACAGTTATAGAGCAATTAAGCGGTTTTTAAGCGGTTGATCACAAAGAGAGCATCAAGGGAATATAAAAAGGAAGAAAAGACATAGAGCAAAGGACCCCGAATCAAACACTCTCAAACAGAGAATATGTAATTTCAATTCCTTAGTTTAGACTTAAAACATTTTTTTTCGGTACTCGTGTGCTTGCGCCCCTTGGAGGCATTTTGTTTCAAGTTCCAATTGTAAAGTCATCGCCAATAAAACACTCCTTTTTGGGACTTTGTCTTAAGAGGTTTGTTCCTTTTCACAATCGTCTGATCCCTTTTTAATTGTTAGCGACTACCCACGCGAAACACCTATGATCAGTTAGGATTTTACTATTCTTCTTCAACAAAATCGTCAGTACGCATTAACAATTGTGTTGTTGGCCATGGACAATATCCAATCCGGCCAGTTGGTTACTTTTACCCATTCTTCAATCTTCAATTACAGTTCCAACCTTGCAAATATCAACCTGGACTCTAGGTAGAGTTTTAGCGCCCGTTTGGCCTCCATTATTTCACATTATAACGAGAATAATGGTAACTTTTTGGAGAATATGCAATCAAAAAATAAGGAAAATTTTTTGGGTTTACGTGTAATATTATTTTATTGGAGAATTTTTGGTTGATAAGAAGAAAAATGAATTATAATTTAATGGGGAATAATTGGGGCAAACAGGGGCTTAACTTTTTTGAATGTTTTCAGCCTAGAATAATCAATCTTTTACCTAACTTCCACCAAGCCATCATCATTGGAAGCCAACATTGCTCGACTTGGCTGCTTCTATTGCACCCCCATTCTCCTCCCTCATTAACTCGCCAGTCTCATGTAACTTGGCATGCTTGTTGTAGAAAAAAATTATATATTTCATATGATTGCAAATATGTTAATTAGTATCACATCGTCGAATTGCAATGAAAACAATTGTTACAATATGCTACAAAGTTGGAATGCATAGCATATTACATACCATGGGATAAATTGGCGCATCTACATCCCAAAATTTGGTACATGTCTTCATTTATCTATTTTATCAAATACAATTATTTATAATAGAAGGAAAAGCTATCACAACAATAGGTAGCACCAGATGTAATTATAGCAGATTAGTTTTACACGATGCTACATCTTTTGACATTACACTAACAGTAAACAATTATATCGTGGTATATTACAGTCTTGCTACATATCCTTGTTTATACAAGCAAAATCTAGTATACGAGTTTTGACTGGAAAATGAAACAATGTAACAGAACAAACTACTCTAACGATCTAACCAAAACCAATCAAAACCAGTGGTCCAAAAAAAAAAAAAAAAAATACCCTCCCAAGCAAGCCCTTAATGCTTCATCCCTTGCCATGAAAGAAGATGTAAGATCAAAGTCACACAATTGATGACTTATTTTTACATAAAGAAGATGTAAAGGTCTTGTGAGTAAATTACCAGCCCTCAAATACTAATGAGAAATCATTGTTTAAGGAATTTCTCTCTGAACGTGTGCGTGTGCGTGTGCGTGTGCGTGCGCGTGTGCGAGTGGGACTAGACCGAGCGAGACACATAAATGATGAGTAAATCAATGAAATGTTTGACTGATATTGCTAATGAAGCTATCTGGTTGTTTTCTTGGAAATACATGTCATTAACTAGCGACCTAATGGAAGTATAATAGGGTTACAATCAAAATCCTCCCTCCACAAAAGAAAAAGTCACAATATTCTATATACAAAACAGACGATTCTGGTTAAGAAGCTTATTTCAATCGTGCTACTCAGTCAACATAAAAATGAATCACCACTTGAGGAAATGGAAAAAAAAAATTGTATAGATTCTTTTCTAGCCATGAGCAGTGCATTGACGCGATCCTCCTCTAACCCACCTCGACACAGCATTTTTTTGAACAATTAGTAAGGAATTTGTAAAACTTGGTAACAGGACATGATATGACGTGAACCTTATAAATCAAATGATTATAAACACATTTTTATGCTCAAAAAGAAATTTGTAACTTCAAAATATACTCAAAATTCCATTTAAAAGTTGCATCCCTTTATTTTCATCGACAAATTACAATTTGGGTTCCACGTGAAGTATACCTAATATGAAAAACTTTCCAACAATATACAAGTGTGTTCTTTTGGAGAATGTATGATTTCAAATGTGCTAGACCATTCGTTCATATCATGACACAACAAATCTTAAACTACTCAAATCATGATATTTAGAATGTCGAGTGAATACTAGAGAGACAAAATGGATCATTGATCCACTTATAGTGTCCAAGGTGCCATAACATGAGTAATTTGAAGTCTAAGCTGTTGTAATTTGAATAGACAATTTTACTATATGTGTGTATTTTATAGAGAACTGTCCTACTTATATATTTTTCAGGCTGCTTTGGTTGGGAGAATGGTGGCTCCCTTTCCATATATAGTAATGTGGGATGAAGGAGTGCTTTGATTAAGAGGTTATGGATTTGTTGACACACTAAAAATGCAGCCCAAATCAAATAGTCCAAAGAGTGAAGCCCAATTGGAGAGTCCAGGATAAAGGTCCAAACAGAATTATTAATGAATGCAGTAGAAGCCCACGAACACAGTAACATCATCGCCCAAACTTGCAAGATGTCCATAATCTGAGCGAATGAAGTGCCTTACGGTCGCCCAGAG